AAAATTTGTATTTTTCGGTGGCTTGTCTATTTTACACTATCTTTCATTTCATTTTAATCTGATTTCATTTTAATCTGTCACAATAATTGGTCCTTCGGGCCTCGAAAAGGTGTTTCAAGTTCTCGAGAACCCGACTTATAGAAGATATGCTAATACCTAAGTGTTTGGCAATTTTTCGAAATGATAAGCCTTCTAAATTTTTTTTCAATTATTTGCCAGCGAAGATGCTTTGAAAGTATTTAACCATGGTTATTCGCATCGGCACGTAGTCTTATAATATTTATGAGTCACCTAATCTTAGATTTTGAAATACTCTTAAATAAACTAGAAGCTATATGTAAAGACAACTATATATATGGCAAATTTTGTAAAATAATCTGTAATAAGTAATGGTTTTTGAAATAGTACGTACAAACTTTAGAATTATTAGAAAACCAATCAAAACTTGTATTCACCATTAACCGATGAAAAATTCGAAAAGTCTATCATTATTCCATTCGGAAGTACTCACCGTCACTGCCGTAGATTTATTAAGTATTACTAGGTTATTATTCGGTAAAATAGCATAGTATATACCAATTTTATTATACCGCATAATTACAAACCCAGGCTCATTCCTCAAAATTATGATTAATGAAAGAAATTAAAGTTTCACCTTACACTATATATTTAAAAAGTTACTCGAGATGCAAGCCATCGTGTTTATCAGTACAGAGAAGCCTTTGACGAGATAAATTATAATAAAATATAGGTTCCTATTTTATTTTATTTAAAACCAATTGCAATAACATGTTTTCTATTCTTCTTCCTCCTCATCACCTTCGTTGCTAATATTAAAGTATCTTATTTGATATGTGTGCTATATGTGTCAAAATCATAAAAAGAATGATATTATTATACTTATATGCAAAAAAATAATTAATGAAAACCCGTCTTGAAAAGAAAAATTGGCTTACCAGATCAGTAGCGACAACACGCAACCAGTCACGAATACGATGTTGCTTCATAAATTTTTTGGTAAGATATTTCATATACCGCTTGGAAAAAACATGAGAGGTGGTGGTAATTGTAATTTTATGATCTTCGCTACGACTTATAGTAACAATATCACCTAATTGACCTGTACGGCCATTAATTTTCACTCGATCATGAAGAAATTTTTCCTATTAAATAATAAATGATCAATAACCTAATAAATTGAGTCTGAAATGGAATTGACAAATACTTACGAAAGCTGCTGAGTCAAAAATCTTATCCTGAGAAGGTGCCGATGCATCAATAACGTATTTCTGTTTGTTCACGGCTTTTTTATTGGCCTTTGCGGAACCACCTTTTTGCTTTTTTGTAGGTGTAAGAGATCAAAAGCTTAAAATTTAATGTATTATAATACTTTTTTTTGAGGTGTATCAATACAACTTACAGCTGCACCACCAGTCATTGTTATGGCTTTTTTTTTTTTTTTTTTTTATCTATAATCCAAACTCAGGTAACTTGGAAGAGAATAATAATGATTTGTTTAAAGCGAATTTACAAGATTTTTTTTTTTTTGGGGTGACACCGATCATCACGAAATCTTCCGATCATTGATAATCATCGGGCATATCATTCATTGTGATTGGATGATCGGATGAAATGTTACACAATATGTTCCCCATATTAGGGTTAAGACCAAAAAATTTCAAATAAATACCTTGTTTTATAAACTATCAAAGTAATTCGGTAAACAAGTAATTCGAAAGTTAGATGAGAGGTATGTTTGAACGTTTAAGTTTAGCTTATAAGTATAATAAATCAATCAAACTCGACAATTTAGGCTGTCTTTTGTGATAACTTATTCATTATAATCTTAACTAATAAAAAATTTAACTATAATGTAAGCAAATACGTAATATAAGATTGAGAGGCATAAGACTTATAGATTTAGTTAGAAGAATTAAAGCAAAGTACTGCAGTGGAACTGTTATTAGAGTGAGCGCTAAAAGTTATTTCTAATTATTTTTTTATTAGTTATTATTTTTTTATACTATATATTTTGTTTTTTTTTGGGTTATTTATTTATTTTTTTGATTTATAGTATGTTAAAGTTTTTTTATTTATTTTTTAACAAAATTTTAGAGTTTTGTTTATAACAAGTTTATAATTTTAGAATTAAATTTATTAAGATTTCATAGTAAAAACTTTTATAAACAACTTAATTATAGATAATTAATTGATGATTCTTCAATAAACTAAAGAATTATCATAATATAGTACAATGTAGTTCTATATCAGTTATATGATTTGTCATACAATTATATATATGTATTTGTATATATAAACTTGTAGCAAAAACATATAAAATTATATATAAACTTTGTTGCGATAATATTTCTTTCCTTATATATTAACTTTAAATTAAATTTATAAATATATACATTAAAACAAGAGTATAAGTGGATTTTGGCAGGGTTTATATTTTTAAATCAGGGTCCCTGATTTCCAGCTTCAGCCGTTTCCAGCATCAGTCGCGACATTTATTATCTTCACTTAAATCTAACTAATTACCCATTTTTTCAAATCGTTTTTACATTATAACTCAGAATAAAATAGTTAAAATTTAATAAAATATAACTTAATAAAAATAACAATTTGTTATAATATATTTTTTATATTTTAAAGAATATAAGACGCAGTTGACTTAACTTTTTACTTAGTTCTTTGTGTAAACGTTATTTGAAAACATTTTGTACTTCTTTCACGAAGTACCAGATCTTAGTTTCACACTGTTCTTTCTTTATTTTAACACTGAAATGTCTTCGTGTATTCGAATTACGGTTCAACTACCTTAGAATTCTTATAAACTTCGTCTCTAATAAACTTTCTAAATATTGGGATTATTTGGGATTAATTTTAATAGAATATAGATATTTGAAAGTTCTTTTGTTACTTTTTTTTTAAAACATATTTAATTGGTTAGTTTTTGAAAAATCACAAGAATAAAAAGTACTTTAACGTATATAAAAAGTTAAAAATTTTTTTTTATTCAATTGCAATAATTATTACCAAATTTGGGGGACGTCTAAAGCCGTGTTCAGTCATGTGGTTTTTGTTTTTTAATTAAAGTTAGGGTAAGGGTTAGTTTGGGGTTAGGGTCAGTCATGTCTTATAGTAAAATTGTCTTCCCGACATTTTTTATTAATGCACCAAGATGGGTTTAGACTATCGTTTCTTGTATTTTTTGCGCTTTTCACTTTTTTCGCTGTTTTTGTCTCTTCGGGCTGATTCGTGTCAATCAAAATAAACAATTCTATTGGCTTTAGGTCACGTGATGGACACGGCTTTAGACGATCCCCAAATTTGGGTTTGTCCACTATGCTCCGATTTGCCCGGTTGTGCTGGTAATACAAACTCCTAAAAAGAAAATAACCAATCAGTGAGTTCGAATTTTGATCGTTCCAAATCAGCCTATATGAATTCTGAATACGTGCGAAAAAGAAAAAGGCAAAAATATTCAAAAACTAGTGTTTCTGTTAACGCTAATTTCCTAATCCTAAATTTGTATTTTTATGCACTTTATTTACAAAATTAAATTTTCTTTTTTGGGTTATATTACCGGCATAAATAAGTAAATCTCTATTAAATTACTCGGTTATCTGGGTAATTTATTATAACTATATAATACTACAATCTCTAGATTTGAATCTTTTAGTGATGTTTTCGAATAAGATCTTCATAATTATATCAATCAAATTAACCTTTATAGTGATTATTATGAAATTGTTTTACATTAAAAATAGATTTCATGATGAAATCTTATTTTTAACCAATCACAAATTATTATTTTAAAAAAGTAAAGTTTTTTGTAAAATTAATTTTACAATTAAAAAATAGATAGCTAATTGGTAAGTATAACACTTTGCAAGGTATTTAAAACATTAATAAAATTTTATATTCTGTTTTTTTTTTTATAATTTAGCAGTTTTGCTGCTGCTTTTTATTTGAAATTAAACTAAATTAAGAAATTTACTATTAGCTTCTGAATATAAACATTCCCTATATTCACTCATTAATTACTAATATATATGATATAAATGATAATAAATAGTAATACTAATGATCATAATATATAATAATAATATGATAAAATATTGATAAGAATATAATAATAATATAATAAAATATAAGAAAAAGAAAAAAAAAAAAATTAAAATTCAATGAAATTTTGGTACTACATTATATTTCCTAATAATATCTATACCAATCTATCTAAAAAACAACTTATTTATACTTATATCAAATATAATTTGCCTTAGTAGACTTTAAACCTCTTTTTAGATTTCTAACTTACTAGAAGCTTGAATTTTTTAGTCATAGATTGGTGTTACACATCATATCAGAATTGATTTTCTTTTTACAAAAATAAAGTATAAATACAAATTCAAAAAGTAAACTAAAAATAAAAAAATATCTCAATATCAAATTCTAATCCATTTAAACAAACAAATAAAATTAAATAAAACAAATAATAATAAAAAAGAAAACAAAACACTATTAAACCTATGCAAAGTTATAAAAATTATATAGTACTATAATTAAGTTAGACTAAATTCTATGCTAGTTATTTATGTTTATATTTAGAATATAAAAATATTAAAAACTATCTGTTTTTGAAGTAAATTTAAACTCAAAATTTCTGATTACTATCTTAAATAGGTCGATGAGTCTTTTGCTGTGTTTTATAGCTATATAGTAGCTTAGAGTGTTTCACAACTTCAACTTAGCCTATATATAATCTTATACTATTCATTCTAAAGTGGATATATATATATATATTTTTTCTTTTTTAGCAACAATTGTTATTATTAATCTTTTGATAAAAGTATATTATTTTTTTCACTTTTGATAAAATTTCATAAAGACTAAAAATATAGTATAAAGAGGTTTTGGTTTGCAAATAGTATTGAAAGTTATTTTGTTGTTCTCTTTTAAATCAACTATTCTTAACTTCATTAACAGAAGTAGTGCTTCTATTAAAATTTTCTACAAAAGCATCATCTTCTTGCCAGTTATCTTATACAAGAATGTTTTTAACTTGTATATTAAATATACAAAGAAGTTTAAAAGAAATCAATAGCTTTTTGACCTTTATAAAAATTGTTATTTGTAGTTGCTTTTTTTACTTTTCTTCAACAAGGTTCTGTTTTTATTAATTATGAATTTGATATAAATGATCATCAGAAAAAGTTAACTATTATATTGTTTTATATATTTTTTTTATTTTTGTTGTCTTTATTATTTTTATATTTTTATTTGTATTTATTTAAATATTTAAATTGTTTTTGATATATTAATTTTTTGAAATTTTGTTTTTAATAGAATTTAAAATTGCTATTTATTCATTCTTAAATAATTTTTTTTGATAATTGCTTAATTAACAACAACTATTGCAACTAATATAGAAAAGCAATAACAATATTTTTGGTTTTATATAAACAAACTTATTGTCAATAAAGTTTACAATATATAAATTATTAAGAAGTAGATATCTATTATATAATGCATAGCAGTATTACATAAGTAAACAAATACTATAAGGCAAACATTATAAGACAAACACTATGAGACAAACACTATGAGACAAAAATCGCATTTGGTTAGTTGTATTTGATTTTGCATCATATATAGCTGCAAATATATATGTATAATAGAGCCTGCAGATCACAACTATATAAGAGAGACATCTAAAGTGGAGTAGATTATTATAATATATATTTTATTGAATTAACTTAAGGATTAATATTCTCTTAGGTTAGAACTCTTTCTGACAATCCTCTGGTCAACAACAACAAAAATCGAACTATAGCAAAACGTATAGAAAAGCAACGAAGTGGATACTAAAACTTGGTCCTATAAATAGGAGCAGCTTGTTGTCGACAAAGTTTAAGCATCTAAACGTGAAATACCGAGAAGCGGGCATCAAAAGAATACAGACAGTTTTCTTTAGGGTCAAGTTTCTTTCTGACAGACTCCCCAAAGTATTCGGCATCCAAACCAGAAGGTTTATTCTAGAAACAAGTCTGTAGAAGTAACCAACGTGCACTTCTAAGTGATAGAAATGGAGAAGCTGAACTATACAACTGTAACTCTTACAAGAAGAACCTCACATACTCTCGTTGGCCCACCACTTTTTTTCGAGGAAATTTTT